AATTTGACAAGGTTTAAATTCATGTGCCATTACCGTCGTCAGGCACGTCGTTTAAGGTATTCGTACTTGTGCGTTAAAATTTTAAAATTGTTAATATCACTTTTCAGATAATTTAAAGCACGTTTCAGGTCATTTTGAATATTCCAAAACTTTCCAAAATTTACGCGCCGTACGCTCATTTTCACGCCCACAGCACATACTGAAGCTGGAAATTACGTTTCGGTTACATGTGATGGGTTTCTGACACTGTATTAATACTACCGTGCGCACGGACGTTAGGACGTATGTGTACACATTCGTAAGTCCTAAATGCTCAAAATTAGTCTTTTCCTTTAAAATTTCTCTTAAAACGCTCAAAATTACTCTTTAAATAGAGCATGTTTTAGCATATAATACTTTTCAATCAGAAACGCGCGTGCTTCGTTAGGGTCAAAGTACTGCGGATCACCAAACTCGTCCTCAGTGACGAGTTCAAATCTAGTTTAGTATTATTTTTTGTACATACAAAAATTAACAAATTTAAATGTGGTGTTTTTGGCTATTTTAATATTACCGCCAGTAAACCTAATTCTGAAACGTGATCGGCTCAGGGTCTTCACTTTTGACTGAATGGCAAAACATATTAATTAATACAATAAGGATAATTTTAATGTATGGTATAATCTAGAAAACCATTCCATATTTCTTTACTTTTCTGCATTACCTCTATTTTCTTTTATTATTATTAATATTATTAATATTATTATTTAAACAAACATACTTACTTTAAATAATATAAAATACAATAATAAAAAAAATTAAAATTTTAATAAAATACAATAAGTAAATTACCGTTACTTAAACTTTTAAATTTAAAAAGCTTAAAATGATTTTACTAAGATGTACATTGTGAAACACAGACACTTACCATTAACAAGCAAATGTTGCAGGTTGCCTTTCTTTGAAGTCTAAAGTAAATATAAGACAGAAAAATTATGCTCTGGTTAATATATCAATTTATTTTAAACAGTATTATTGTTGTCTTACTAGAACAAAGCCTACACCGTGCCAACTTTATCATACAAAATGCCCTACTGAAAAAAAGTAAAAGAGAAGTTACTTTTTAACAATTTCTAAGTTGAGATTGAATCATATAACAACATTTACTGGAAGTCAAACAAACTTACAATGTATGTTACTTGCTAGATGATAAAACAAGCTTTTCTGATATTTTAAATGACTCATCACATATGGTTATGGCTTTTAAAAAATAAATAATAATTTAAACTTGTGTTTTCTTTCAGGCGATAATTAGTTTTCTTCTACCAATTATTGTACCAACAATATTAATAATAATAATAATAATAATAATAATAATAATAATAATAATAATAATAATAATAATAATGGTTGACTTATAGAGCGCATAATTATTATGAAGACCTCTATGCGCTTAACATATATATGAATAACTGTACAAAGAAAGTAATAACAATACCAATACTTTGATACTGTGAACACTGCTCAGCTTAATTGAATTGCTTTACAGTTATTTTAGTATTTAAAATTCTTGGAATTCAATTGTAAACATTGTTCATCGAATATATTATTAATTTAGGCTGTAGCTATGATTCATTGCTTACGCCGAAGTGATTGAAACGCGCTGATTGGTGACTTGGCTTTACTCTAACCTTAAAAATAACTTGTGCTGCCTTAAAGCACTACATTGCCACTTCGTATTAATTACAGTAACTAAATATTCAACAGTTTGTCTGATGAACAATTACTGGTTTGAGTATAAAATAAAGTTTTACTGAGTATACTATTACAATAAAAATGTGTTTTCTAATAAATATCAGAAAACACTTTATAACCTATTGTTAATATTTACCAATTTTATCATTTTTACTACTGACGTCATTTGATTTGTGAAAATATTTGTTATCGTTTGTAGTATTCACAGTAAATTATTATTGAGTCATGCTATTAGTATAAACAATCTTGTAATTGTGTTTCTTTTATTTTTCTTGGAACAATTCCTGTTTTGCTTTTCATTGTTTATCATTATCGTAGTATAAAACAGGTCTTAATTTACTAGGCTTAAGGCATCTAGGTTTAAATTAATTGAGTTTTAATATTTTTAATATTGTTTTATACAGGCCTTTTATTTGTTAGCCTTGCCTTGTTGTTTGTACTGTATTTTGTAGTTTTATGCCATGTCATGATTGTCAGATAACTGCTGTTTTGGGGTAATAAAAAAAAAAGCCTAGGCTAGGATCAGTTGTATTTACCTGAGTAAATTAAATAACATTCCAGTAAAATAGGCATACTGTAGGCTAGGTCCTGGCCCCTCAGTATGTTAGTTCAAGGCATATAGAAAAAAATATATTATAAATATCACTCCCATCTGCATTATAAATTTTGGAAATATTTAAAATGCAATATGCAATATTCTTGCCAAATAAAATCAAAGGAGGTATAAAAATAACAGTCCCTCCCTCATCAATAAAAAAAAAAACTACTGTGCCCTGCCTAAACTAACAACATACCTCGGCCAGGACTAATACTTTTAGGCCTAGGCTTAGCTAGGCTAGCCTATAGGCTAAGTTCCTAGCTAGCTGCTAGGCTAGGACCTTTTTTGTGCACTTTAGGCCTAGGCTAGTCCCTGACCTAGGCTATGCAGGTAGGTCAAGCCTCTACCTAACTGGGCTACAGAGGAAGGCCTGCTAGCCTAGGTAGGTGGCCTCCCTAGGTAGGGCCTAGACGAAGTAGTAGGCTAGGCCAAGCCTGCCTAGCCTAGGCCTAGTAGTAGTAGTAGGCCTAGTATGCTAGAAAGCTTTGATAGGAAGCCTATCGAACACCCATCATCTAGCAGCATAGGAATGTAGGTAATATTTGTGGCAAATTATTAATATTATTATTATTATTAATGGCTCTGATGGGAGGCTCTAAAACATTGATTCGGCACCAGTTTTGAACGACGAACTTGCAGGGAATGTTATAAACCATTTTCGCGAAATTTGAAATAAAAATTTCCAATAACGTGGTGAATACCAACGATAAGGACTTTCAGAGGCCTGGCATTTCGCGGTACGTATTACTGTCATGGATAACATCAACAACAAATCTAAATTGCTAACGAGCACAAACATTTTAAAACAGAAAAACAGTACAGTAAAATGTACAATAGTCAGCGAGTTTGTCAAACAAGTTATAAAAAAAGTCTTGCCTTGGGTAGCATCTTTTTAAAGAAAATCATAAATTTCATTTAAAAGATCATTATATTAGTCCTACTGAAACTGTTAATTATTTCAAGGTTTTATCTAAGTGCAAATCCAAGTTTAATTGTTTATTTAAAGAAATGCTTTGGATCAAAGAACTGAAACCTACACTTAACAAACCATAGAGAAAATAGAACAGAAACAAACTGATTCAGTCAAAGCCAAACTGTTTATCTAGTTAATCTGCTAAGAAGGGCTAATTATTGCTTAGCTCCATTGTGGCTCCACACAGTAGGCCCTATTGATATGTAAATTAATTACTTACTTCCTGTCACTGCTTGGCATTTTTGTTTTTAGTTTTTTCAATTTACTTGATCTTGAGAATGGTTCCATGATGGACCCGAAACGTCAATCTTTCTTGTCATTAAATTTTGTTTTGAGATTATGTTCTGTTATGCCTTACTTATTTTTAATCTATGGTCTTTTTAATTAATTTTCTTTTTTTTATTGGAAATTCCGTAGTGCAGAGTAAATTTATCAAAACCCATTAGGTTTACAGTAATATGAAAAAAAAAATTTAGTTTATACAGAAATAGTATCTAAAATGATCTCAGTTTCCAAAGTTAAAGCAAAAGATCTAATCTAAACACACATATATTAGGCAGGATGAAATTTCACAAAAGAGTGGGTTCTTTTTCATAGGTGAAAATTGTAAATTTAGAAATAAGTTTTATTTTTTCCTTTGAACTGAGATCAATATGTGATTTTTTTAAATTTCTTTAAAAATATTGTTTTTAACAATTACATCAGATGCAAATAATGTTCTGAGAGATAATTGAAAAACAATGGCCATTGAATAACATTTTTTGATAGTAGAAATAAAAGTTTTAAAACTTCACTTTTGTTAAATATCAAATGAATTAACTTTACATGTTATAAACAATGCAAATAAACAGTAGTTAAAGCATGTGGATCAATTGTGTGTTACAGAATTTGATTATTGGGGAGATTCCTTTTAAAAACTAAGTTAGTTAAGATAAAAAAAAATGCATATAATGACTCAAGAAAATCAGTTTTAATTCAGAATTTGATTATTGGGGCCATTTTTACCTACCTGTCATATGGGGCCATTTTTTCCGGGGCCATTATTTCCGGGGCCATTTTTTCCGGGGCCATTCTTACCGTACACCGCAGCGTAGAATCATTTATTTTATAATATAAAGACTGTATTAAATAAGATGGTGAATTAAATAAGCGTACAATAAGGTTTCATGGTTTTGAACATTACAATGTTTAAATGTTATGCTCACTTGAAATATATCAGTATAATAGTCGCACAATGTTATAGTGCAATTCTTGCGCTTGGGTCATTTTTAGGGCAAAATATCTTACTAATTAAACAATGCATCCCTTTAAACTGAAATCTGCACAAAAAGTTGTCTTAGAATGAAAGGTTTAATGGCTCTAGACAGTACACAGATAATATTATGCTCATTTGAAATCAACAGTAACACAATTTTATTGCACAATTCTTGCACTTGGGCCACTTTTGGGGCATAATATCTTACTAATTTAACAATTTAACCCCTAACTCCATGCCTGAAATAAGCACATAATAAAGTTGTTTTAGAATTATAAGTTTCAAGGGTCTAGGCAGATTATTTTTAATATTATTGTTATTCAAAAATTAATTTTGTCACATTTAAGCACTGATATTGTCACAAATTGAAAAATATACCCCTTTTCAAATTTCTTTTTAAACATGAAGGCATAAAGACACCAAACTGTCTGATCATCATATATAAATTAATTAATGTGCAAGTTATAACAACAAGCGTATTTGCCCGCAGGGTCAAAGGTCACCATGAAACGAGGAATTTTTGTGTATTTTTTGTCCTGAATGACCTTTCGACCTACGATTACCCCCTAAAATGATAAGTAAAAAATCCGAAATTTTTTGTGATGAAACATTTCCAACTATATATTAATAATTTGTTGGATACGGAAGACCCATTTAATAACAGATTTGAGTATTTTAATGGAGTCTAAAAGTGGAAGAAAACTTACGCAACCAAATAAGTTAGGGTCTTTACGAAACAACTTTTTCATAACGGGGTCCGGTATACCAAAAGTCCTGTCATATTCCTGTTCTACAGCCAAAAGTTAGTCTAGATATCAATTTTCAGTTAATTATCTTTATTCTACTTGAAGATATGGCTAATTGAAAATGCAACTTTACAAATATGTCATAATTGAGAGCTAAAAATGGGTAGACCCTAAAATTTCAAATGGTTGTAACTTCTAAACGACTTGGAATTGGCAAGTCAAATTTTGGGTTTGTTCGTCAGACATGTTGGTGCACATTATATCTGAGTTTCAAGAAAATCTGAGACGGTACCCAGCCATTTCATTTGTTGAGTTTGCACGGAATAACCCATATAGTATTTTCATATTTATTTTCCATATCAAATTATAATGTTTATAATTACACACTCTATATTTTAATGGTAACTGAAGGCTTCTTTAATGGTAATATACGTTCCCACGAATATAGATTCCCATGCAGGGCTAGAAATTTACTTTTTCAGCCACTAGCAACCTATTGCTAAAATGTGCTAGTTGTTAAAAATGTAACTAGCAAAATGAGCTGCTCAACTAGTAAAATATATTGATACCAACTCAACATATTTTTTTCGGAAAATAAATTGTATGAAAATAACTAATGATGTACTTCTGTAAATTTGTGT